CTCAGTCCCCTCTCAGAAGCTGACTCACAGTCATTTGAGTTTTTTGGGGAAAAGGAAACATCTCTACTGCACAGCAGTAGAAAAGGAAGGCTTTTAAAGGACACGAGATTTACCTGTTAGTTTTGTAGAATACCAACTATTATAAACCCTAATCTATGGCTTTCAGTATTGTGAAGAACTTCACATTTGGAGATGAGAAATAACCTCTCACAGTTGCAGTTGTTGCTGTAGGACAACTACTCAGCAGTCTGATTCACCAGAGATGTTTAACAGGCAATGTGGATTCAGCATTTCAAGCGAATTTGTTAAATTTCTTCAGTTGAGTCAATACAGGTAAACTGCACCCTTCTGGTTACAATTTACATACAGCACCACATGGCCATCTAAATGATAGCTGCAGAATGCATAGTGCCCAACCCAGATAATCAGAGGGTTCCCTACATTCAAGAATAGAAGAAAAAAAAACAAAAAGGGACTCTCTTCACTCATCCCTTGACTGTTGTGGGGCACTGATACCCCATATGCAATAGGCCCACAGGAAAGGAATAGTCTCACGTAGCTCCTCTAAAGAAAATGCAGTCACAGCGAGAGACTGATGTATGTATGCTAGGGGGTGGAGAAGGGACAGGAAGTAACCAGGAAAAGATGCTGATAAAAGGAAAGATCCCAACAAAGTGAGAAAAGCCTTCCTGCTTCTCCAGAGACATGAACTGCAAAATGCTAGAATAGGGGTTTTTTTCCCCCCTAAAGAGCTGTTTCAGAATAAGTATACAGATCAGCTAATTTCATTTTTTTCCTATTACTGTTTGCCGTTTCCCCTCATTGTGATTACATCATCACCAGATTTCTTCTTCCTCACTTAATAGAATAAAGCCAAAATAGTTTCCTAACATTTTTGTTTTGTTTAAACACTGTCTCCTTCAGGCTCTGGCTTTTGATTTGGAACCCAGGCAACTTTAAAAAAACCTGTCTGCTAGAAAATACAAAACAGTATGGATAACCTCAGAGTGAATATATCAGTCCTGAGTTACTGCGCTGTTCTGAAAAATATTTCTGCTATCTCAGACGATGATAATTCTTGCATATCTTTCAGCTCATTGGATCACCTCCAAGACAGTCTGTCTCACTAGAAAAGCTTGCTGTTCAGCAATAATAATTCAGAAATACATGAAGAGGCTCTGCTATTGCGTCCATCCACATACAATCATAACATCTTAGGCATCAGGGCAACACGGCACTTAGCTAATTAACTATGCCTAAAAGTCTTCTTACAGAGGATTAGGTCTATAAAATTAATGAATTCTGCTGGCTTCCAGACAGTTCATGCAAGCACTAGGATAAAATAACCTGCTTCACTGCCCATGTCAATTTGGAAAGACCAGATTTATGCATATGATCACACCACTGGTGACAGCTCTTAGCATTGCCAACAACCTGCAGGTCTCATTCATTTCAGTAGGACTGACAGATGCTCAGCTATAGTGAGTCTGTCAAAACTGTTTTCCTGCCTGCCCATGACATCTCATGACAGAATTTGTTCTAGAGGGTAGGATGGTCTGCAGGGTGGGGACTGGAAAATATTCTTTATGTCTTCCCAGATAATTTGCTAATGCCATTATTAAAGGAGTGTGAAAGCTGCAGAGTGACCTTAACTCTTGTCTCCTCTTATCCTGTCCCCACCCCTCTACCATAGTCAGGCACTTATTTTTAGATAAAGAACAGATAAGCAGAACAATAAACTTCAGGGGAACACATCACCTGTCACCCAGCTGACTGACTGTGACTCCTGTGTCTTATTCTGTTGACTATTCAGCACTGAGCTAACCACCTGGGCCTACCTGAAGGGAAGAAAATACAGTATCTCAGACAACATTTTAAAGTTGACCTGTTGTGCCAAACAGCTCCAACTAATTCCCTTCCTTGCCCACTGTTTTAAGGGCATTTTCCTGAAGAGAATCATTAGCAATGCCACAATCTTGTATTGTGCTTTTGTCAGTAGGCTTCAGAGACCTTTAGGTTTCTCTCCCCTGCCTCTCAGGTGAAGTGCAAGCTAAGTGGGAATTGTACGAGGCTGGCTGACCAAGTGCAGGTCAATAGACACTCTAGCTCCTAAGTTCAGGGTGCCCACTTTATGTCTAGGTGTGGGATAGCTTTGTACTGGCACAATACTAGCTTCTCCTTTCAGGAAGGCCCTTGGAAGCATGCGGGCATAAGACTACAAATGGGGTGAACAATCCTGGTGTGGTTGACAGTTGCTGTCATCCTTCTCAGGGGCTGAGGCAACTATCTCACAGCATGACTTATGGCATGACAGAAGAGCGCAGAGCCTCCATGAAAAATGACGACTCTTACTGTTAAACCCACAGACAGCCTTATTGCTTGGGGGCAGTTAGAGTATAATGAGCATGTCCGCACGTAAACCCTAGCTGCCTGCATAGAGGGATACTACACATATGTAGGCAAAAGGGCCATGGCACATCTAGTATTAAAAGCAATTACAAGGCCCTCTCAGTTGAAGTGTTTGGGGTTTAGGACTCACCTTGCACATAGAAAGTCTAATCTGTCTCAGGGCAGCTGTGGATCAAAACCAGTCCGCAAATAAGTGTATGGCATCTACTAGCAACATTTAGAGCTGCGTGCCTTTGCCAAGAAGAGGATTTTTCTCACAGTTAGCTCCCTTCCCCCACTTCCACACCCAAATATCTTGAGAATGTAAGTACAGCTTTCCTTTTCCCCCACGCACAATTATGGCTAAGTTCACAGCTCAATTCACTTATGACTGCAAATCGCTGATTAAGGACAATATCTGATCTGTTTGGAGATATATTTATGCAAAACATGCTAAAGAAAAAAGACTAAGATTATCATCAAAAGCCATATATTACACTGTGTGACAATTACAAAATATCACAACCAGCAGGCATTCCTACTACAGCTCCCCCTGAAAGAGGTTACAATAATTTCTGCATGCCTGCTCATCCCTGCTATGGCAGGCTACAAAATACAATCCTGTTCCAAAGCAATGTTCCCAACTAAAAACTGGGCTTCACTAGGAAAGAATTCAAAACATTCAACAGTGCTTTCTGACACTTCTACTGCTGGAAATTAAGCTAGCTGCATGAAGAGGTAATTCCTCCACACCTCTGGGAATCCAGCCATTGCAGTTCTCACTACTGCTCATCATATGCTCTCAAAAGCCCCATGAGAATCATACAGCCCTTGGGCATAGTGAGTATACCTTATAATCTGAGATAATGGGTTCTTTGGGAAACAACTAGTTTTTCATTCCTGATTGTGTCATATACAGTGCAAGTGCCACAGCCTCAGCCTTTGACTAACAGCCCCTAGGTATGACAGAACTACTTATTAAAAAAATAATCAACACCACATAGTGCAGGCTGCAAAGTGTAATGAAAATGCCTACAAAAATATGTTGGCACCTCTCTCTACTTACCTTGGGTGGGATAAGGAAAGAAATACCAAAACTATTTACCATAGTGAAATTAATATAAATTTAAGAAGTAAGTTTACTTTTGTGGACAGACTTTTTTTTTCTTGTTTTTCACTTATTTGTTTTTAATAACACTGACGGAACAGCCTTCTTTGCAATTACTATGCTGATTCAGCAAAAGGGGTTATGAAAAGTTCCTCTCATTGTCATATTTATATTAAGATAAATGCAGCTCTGTCTTCAGAGAGAGGAATACGGTACACAAGAATAAAGGAGATCAAATAATACAGAGATTTACACTATGAATAGGAAATAACAGAGTTAAGATTTCAGAAGCTCACTGATGACTGAATCATGATTGTTGCAGGGGTATCAATTTGGTACAAGAGATTGTATTTTTTCATGACAAAAAAAAGTTTTCAAAGTAGCATAGGTGGTGTTTTTGCAGTGGAGCAGACCTTTTGTTTGCATTCTATTTGTTTAATTAAATAATTCTGGTATTCCTTTTAAATACTGTTATGTAAGTAACCTCTCTTGTCATTGCACTGCAAAATAAGCCTTCTGCAGGTGATTTGTGGAGGAACCAAGATGTCTCTAAAAAGATCTGAACACTCTGGAACAGATTTGAGACTGTTAGAAAGAAAAAGGGGGAAAAAAACGAAACCAAACCAAACCAAACCAAAAAAAACCACAAGAGGAGGAAGATGCAAGAGGTAGAAGAAAGCAGAGTTCCCAAACCAGAAATTACACAGAACTATCTAGTTTGATAAGAGAAGAGTAGGTAAGGGAAATGCTCACAAATTTCCTGAAAACCATCCAATGTTAAAAACTTTTAAGAAACTGAACTAGTTAGATAATAAGAGCACTCCACTGCAACACCTTAAAATACTGCTCTTACAGAAAAAAGAAGAAAAAAAAAAAGGACTGCTAGGAAATAAATGGACTAATCTGTAATCTACAGATACACCAGGTAATTAATTATTAAATCACATGCTGTTTGTCAGCTGCAAATGGAATGCTTCTGCATAATTTAAGACCGTACTTGAAGAACTATTGAGTCTTCTGCTTGACATGTCTAATTTTCATCCAGTTATTTCTCCCCCTCAAAAGAGGAGACATGTATCCCTATCTTTGTTCAGTTTTAACACCTAGACTTCACGTATTTACAAGCAGTTACACATTTATTTTCTGCAAAAGTAACTTTATATTCCCATTCATAGTTGTTCTACTCCCCTCGAAATAGACAGCACCAGTGAGGCTCCTATCAACAGAAAGGGACAACACTGTACAAAATAAAGCTGGAAGCTTATTCAAAAGAGAGAGTATCGTCATTCTTAATGTACTAACCAGAACCGTCTTCCTGAGGCATCATCAATGCCAGGTTGTACCTTGACCTGGTATAGTTGAAGTCCACATTATATTCCCTTTATTCAGACCTAGCTGCAAAGATCTTCTATTTTGCTAGGCCAGGTCAGAGCGTACATATGACTAGTTCACTGCTATTTTCCAACCTAAACAAGCTCAATGAGGGGTTTTTTTGCTCACTTACTCTGGAGATGGTCAAGGGCATGTTGAAGTCCTTGCCCCCTTGCAGTCGGAAACCCCATGGTCCAGGTCCATTCAGAGTCACGCTGTAAGCCATTTTGTACCTCTTTCACAAGGCAGTAAGGCACTGCAGAACAGAAGGATGGGATAGACAGAGAAAGCATGAAAACACAGAATGAGAAAAGGAAAGAGTTTTACATAACGAAAGCAATTCTCTTTCTGCCTTGCCTGTTCAGTTGTGTTCTGATACCACCTAAGAATAGATGGGAGCTATAATGCAGATGCTGATATCCCAGCTGAGCAGGGCCCATAAAAGGTTTGTAACCAGACACCTACTATGCAAAGACTTCATGACTCAGAGGTCTAATATAGCCTCCAGGGAAGGGGACAGATCTTTCTAGGCTTCTCAAACTCTTCTTCATGCTCAGTTACTTTATGGGTAAAACACATTTTGTAATAAAACAAGCAAACAAAATCCCATGCTAAAATCACAAACATCCAAACCTCTTTACTAAGCTATGAACAACTACATAGTCATTTTTAACTTCTGCTTTAGAACCTATGTTTATTGCATCACGATATAGAACGTACTAACAGCAAGTTCTTTTTACATAGATCTTTTCATATGTAGCAGGAAAGACACCAAAAAAAGTGTTTACCTTCTTTTGAATTGGTTTGTTAAACTGAAAAAAATTATATACTACATGCATTTAGCAACACAAAAACACCCCACAACTTCAAGTTTGGCTCTTGGTTCCATAGCTCTTGCTTTCTCAAGGGAAAATTAAAATTTATTCTCCCTGAATGCAGAAAGAGGTATTATGGGTTATTTCTAATCAGCACTTAATTTCTGTTGCAAAAGCAGTTTCACTACATACCTGCCTCATTATTTCGATACAAGTCTTCTAAAGGCATGACACTTAAGTGGAAGGCTAAGAATACAAATAGCTAGCTAACTGCTTCCTTAATTCATTCCTTGATTTTTCATAGTTTATATTCCAGTTGTTAGGTGTTCCACAAAACTTTATAACCCTTGCTCAGCAACGCTGGATAGCATTTCTGCCTTAGATTGGGAATAGCTAAAACAGAGAACAAGAAGGAAGGGGAGAGCTACAGGTGAAAACAAAAAGCTTCTGCTCTCAGGGTAAAGCTATAAACAAATAACGCTCACCCCTTTAAAGTCATCAACATGTGTAGGACCTTGAGAACCACTCTCCTGTGCCTCCACAGCATCCCTGCCTTTACCCTCCAGATAGAAAGAAATTCCTGTTACATTAAAGTGGAAAAAAAAAAAAAAGCATGGGTCCTACTCCGATAATCGAATCAAAACCACAACCAAAATCACGTAACACGCTAGAGTGAGGTAGCACAGTTTGTGTTGATAATAGGTCACTCTGCCCACACACCTACCTTAAAACATAATAGAAAAACTGATGGTGAAATCACAGAGAGCAAACGCTACCAGGGCCTCAGTCTTTACCTGAGGTGACAGTCAGTACTTTTTCATGAGGCAATATAAGTGTTTGTTTAGTATTCATAGTGGCAGAAAAGCCATTTGTACAAGGGAATAATTAATCCCCTTATAGACACGAGACTAAACCACGTAACCGTATTTTTTAGTCAGAGGTCCAAATTAAACCACAGCAAATCACATGGATTTGAACGAAAGTTACACTAAGCCAGTAGAACTGGCCCAAACCAAAACCAAAGCAAATAGCAAGACACAGCTTGAAAACAAAATGGGTTTCTGATGTCTCAAAAATACCTCTAGGGCACATTTACATTAACAGCATTTGTAAGCTACTCTATAGGAGTCCGGAACCAGTGATGTTCAGATGATGACTTTGAGGGAAGACAAAAGTAAACGGCAGAGTTTTCAGGCCTGCCAGTTTATCTAGTAGGTCTCTTTCTAAACACTGATACTGAATTATATATTTTTTAAAAAAGTCATACGCACACACAAAAGATTGAAGGTAATTCTCATTGCACTATTTCTTTCCTTTTCCTAGGAATTCAGTTATGTTTCTACTGCCCTTTCTTGGCTTCATTTCAAGGGTTCAGGAGTAAGACAAACATAGCATGTCATTGCTTCACTAGTAAAGACAGCATCACAGAAAAAAAGTATTAGAAGAGAGGTTATGTTTTTATGGACTGTGAATTCTGCACAAGTTACCTTCCTATACCTAAATCTTCAGTCATTTGTGTAAAAAAAAAAAACAAAACCAAACCACAAAACGGGGGGGTAGAAGAGGAGAGCAAAACCCAGAACAGAGTAAAACTGCACAGCAAGCTGAACAGAGCTAAGCATTAGCAGAGATGCTGTTTAATCAAACACTATGTGCTTCTATCCTACTTTCACATGTGTAACATGCCATTTGCTTAGCAGTTTAGGACATCTGAAGGACCTGTGAGATCCTTCAGCCTGGGTGGTGTGCTAGGAAACTAGTGTGGTAATCTCATTAGGGGCAATGTCATCTGAATTAAATGTTAAACTGAGGTCACTTGTTCCGTTCAGCACAGCTTGGCACTTTTAAAAAAGAAAGCATAGAGAATATGCCAATGTCCTGGCCAATGTTCCCCTTCAACACAACAGCACCACAGCTCTTTCATGTGTCTGTACTATCACCACCAGGTGCATTTTGAAGGACAAATATTCCACAGTTCTCTTTCTCTAGGCCTCCCTAAGTCCTTTTCCTCCTCTGTTTTCCCTCTGCCTGCCTGGAGAAATCTCTGTGCCAAACAATGAAGTGCAAACAGTAAAGCAGCTCATGCTGTAGTCACAGCTTGCTTTGCTGGGGATGCTCTTAGCATAGGTCTCACTTGTCTTCTACAGACTTTTAACACAATCAGCTTCTAAATAAGGAAGTATTTCAACCCTGCCCTGTTCTCAAAGGTGAGAGACGTGGGTGTTCTCACTGTGTCAAACAACCGGAGCAACACAGGAACTGGATTGGTGCAGCAGATACAGTGCCAGCTGAACGGGTATGGCTACCAGCACAAACCCCAGCAGGCCCTTCTGGGAAACCTAAGGATGAGACAAACTGTGTGTACGTAATAGACAATCCCCTTGTCTTCAGGAGCTTGTGATGTTTAGATTAGTTTTTAGTTGCTTTACGTAACCGCTGTTTAGACTGTTCCAAAAATAATTTTTTGTTTGTTTAAATAACAGTATTTTGTTTCTCTTGGTGTGCCTTCTTCCCTACATTCTCCAGCTATGTCAAAATCCAGGACTTGCTTATAGTTCGTTCTCTTCAGACAGACACTATGCTGAGTCAGATGAGGTCACTGGTGTAAGGAGTGACATTTAAAGAAAAAAAATATTCCAGGAGCAGGGTGACATTTTCTCTACAGATACCGAAACAGAAAACTGTCCAGAGCTCACCAGGTCCCTCGAGAGCTGTCCCCAGCTGACTGACAGGAACAGTTGTGAGGAAGCTGAATGGGTACCATCTCTGCGGGCTCTACAGCAGAGGAGAGTGCTGCCACCTCCAGCAAATCCCTCGGAGCCTGAGCAGAGCCGTCCTTCCAGGACTACATCAGAAATGTTACACTAGCGGAAACAATCCACATATGCTAGGAGACCATGTTGTATTACAGTGAACCGACTTTAGGAAAGCTACAACTGCATGCTTGGGAGTGCATAGCCATTAAGCAAATGAAATAAAACCCACTAGTGTCAATGTTAAATTAAGGTGGAAGGAAACCAGTAATGGAAATTCCAGTTGTTGAAGTTGCTACTACTTCATTAAGCTGGCTACATTATTCATCAGTTATATTTTAGCTGCAGGGGTAGATGCGCTCACAGAAAAGTCTTGAATTACTGTTACTGCAGCAACAAGGTTGTATCATTTGTATCATTAAGCATTTCAGAAGTAGATTGCTTGAGAGTTAGACTTCTGATCTGCAATAGACTGTGCACCTTTCACATATAAAAAGACACATGCAGTCACAGGTTTCAACAACCTTTTATGTCTTTCTTCAGGAAAGTGAAAGACTTGCCCTGCAGCAGAATAAACATAATTTCTTTGATAAAAATCCTCAACAACCTGGATAGACATTCCTTTTAAAGAAAAAAATCAGACAAAAATATTGGCTGCCTATGTTTCAGTCTCCCCCACCTGAGGGAGTGGCAGTATGAGAAGGCAGTATTCAGCTTCATGACAAATGCATTCTTTTTGTCCCACGGATTCCTGCGCTGTCCCCAGTAAGATTATCTATACTCTTTCAGAAGAGCGGAAAGGCAAAGAGCATGGATCAGGAACATGTAAAGACACTACTCACCTAGACGCATGCATGACGAAAACCCAAGCTTTGAACCAGATGTCAGATACAGAGTTTTCCAAAATTTTGAATTAAGCCAATATGAATTATATTCCACATGGAATAATGAGGAAACAACAGCTGTATTTGGGGACTGATCTTCATCGCAATCCACAGGACAAAACAACACATATTTACTATATATTGGCTAATGAGTGCTAAAGAATTTGAAACTGACACGTTAGAGATGTAAAAGCTTTTTAGCTCTGAATTCCTACCCTGCCAATGTGAAACTGAATATAAAATTACCAAGAGCAAAGATTTTTCCCACAAGTTCAATATTTTTTCCAAAGCAAGACTATTCTACAATGCAAAAGAACTCATTGCCATCTCCTTTCCTTAGCTGCAGAGCTCTGAACTAAGTTGAGCTGCTCCTATTTGTACTTCCATGTTCAGCTTTGTTTCATCCACTTAATCAAAGTCCTTCAGTTCTCACAGAACTTTGTATTTCTGAGTTCCTCTTAGTCCCTTTATCAAGTTGTCCCAAGTCCGGTATTTTGATCTTAAGAAGCTAAATATTCTATGACACTTGGCTTCACCAAATTCTGCTCTGTCGATACCTTTCCAGTAAGTGGTTTGTGGGTCCCAAGAGAACATAGTATTGCCGGGGAGATATGCTAGAGCAATATAATGATGGAATATCTCCCTTCTCTGTAACACAATGACTTCAGAAATGCAGCTCAAACTGTTTTCTGTTTGGCCATTTGCTGCTGCTAGTATCACCTCACTGATTAATCAAATTTGCTGTTTATCATAGAATCATAGAACAGTTTCGATCGGATCAAGATCGAGTCCAACCTTTGTCCTAGC